TCAAGACAACATTACCCTGTGAACACATTTCGTTCATTAATTGTTATAAACATATGTTTGCCTGGTAATTATTTACTAATTGGTCTCGTTCGGTTTCATGCGTCATATCCTTTGACAAAATGGAACAAGTAGAGATTTTGATGCTAAAGCATCAAGTCGCCGGATAGAAAATGACTGTATTATCATAAATATAAAAAAAATCAGTTTAATTAATGGTTCAGGTATAAAGAAAAGAGGAACAATTTATGTTGAGTAACTGTTTATTCACAATAAAACATCATATATGAAGCAAACTTGCTTAGCAATATTGTTAAGGAACTGCTATGATTATTAAGCAAGTATTTCGTACGTTAGTTTACGTAACTTATTATGATTTATGCTAAAGATTTTATTGATAGTATAGATCTCGATAATTAAATTAATTAATATGTGGTAGGTATAGGACGAAGTTGTGACCTAGTAGGCCAAAATTCGAATCTTTGAAAATCCCTTTTGCAGTTTTCATAAAACTATTTTTTTTGCGCTATCGAAAAAAATAAGCTATTTAGTTGAAATCAATATTCCTGTCGTTTACATACGATATATAGTTAACGTTTAATTGCCTTTCAGTTCGATAAAATATTAACAAAAAGATATTTTATTAGTTTTTCATTATTATGTGTCGTACCGTTTTGGTAACTGCGCGACGGAAATCGACGGAATATAACGAAGACGACGATTTACCACTATTTATTTCAATAAATGTGCCTCTTTAGCATAAATCTATTTTGTGATGTTCAACCTAAACTAAACTATTGAACATTGACAGAAAGGCAAAATTTAACCCTTTACCAAGATAAAATGAAAAGGTTTTTGAAAATTTATTTAATTCTTTAATGTACTAATCCTTTCTAATGATATAAAATATGAAACTGATTAATGAAAGATAACTTTGTAATTATTTATACATTTGCATCTAATTAGCCCCATACCGTTTTTCCAACTAGTATGTCTTATCAGCAATCTGTTACTATTAATAGATTCTATAACACTAACATACCGCGTGTAGTCACGTGATTCTTACAATAGAACAGGGAGAATCTGTTTATAATTAGATAAAATAATGAAATATAATATAGGTGTCATAAGATATAAAACAAACCAGATAATTTAAATGTGTCATTTTAAAATATCATTCATGATTTATCAATCATAAAAATAGCAACGCTTGACACTTAGAAAAAAGTAAAAGTATCCCTAAATTCAATGACTGGTCCATAGGGATACGTTATTAATTCATTTTATGAAAATTGTAATGTTGCTTTTTAAGATGTCAATATTTGTATATTTCATTTCATTTAGCAACGTTAATTTATTTTTGAATTTTTAAGATTCTGAAAAATAATTGTGGTCCTTAATTGTTCAGTAATTGATTTGCTTTTATTTTCAGATTTTAAGGCCTTCTCCTACCATAGATATAATATTAAACTGTTACAAATATAGTTGCCGGTTTCTACCGGCGACTAATGAAAAAGCATTGTCAAAGTAAAGCAAACATTAATATTGAAGGGAAGATCGTTTGAGCCTGTTGGCATTTCTAAAGTATGAATATGTTTGTCACTTTCTACTTTATCGTTGAAAACTGTGGAATACATGCATGTGGATATATATAAAAGATTGTTTAAAATGTTTAAATATGAAAGAAGAAACAAAAATGTTCATAATACGACTCATTTCGTAATGTATCATATTTTTGCACAGATTTAAAGGAATAAGAATGGATGGATTGATGTCTGTCTAATATAAATATTCATCATTTAAAAAGAGGAACCATGACAGTTTTCCTATTGACATCAACCATATAAGAGAGAAATTCGTGTTTAAAGACACTATTTTTTACTTGAGAAATAAGTTCATGGGCGCCGCCATTTTGGCGTTCTGTCATTCTCGCGAGACAGACGAGACCGAGATTGTGACGTGTTATACCCACTTCCGGTATAGGTGTACACGCTGGTACAACTGAAATATATCTTGATGAAGAACTTATTAATTTAATTGCGTACATTATATATTATTTATGAAAACATCATATGGAACTGAATTGCTTTAATTAATTAATTGAAGACGCCGCGACATTTATTATCATTTGTCCGATACTCAAGCTTGCTGATGATCCCACCACATGATTTAAGCAATGACTGCTTAATTTTCAAAGATAAACCATAAATTTACATTGGGTACTATGAGAAACTTCTTCAAATTGACGATATATCCTTTTATTTTGTACTTAATTTTCGCTAGACAAGCTGTCCAAATAGGGTACATCGCCGGTCATGTATCTTTTTTCAGGTAAAATATCAACTAAATCCAATATGCTGAGGACGCGATTGACGCTAAAAATGAGAAAGGCGCAGGAAAATCGGCAGCCAGACTTATATCGTATGAAAACAAAACTGTCCGTAAAGTTATTAAGGCACCCAGTCAAAACTGGTACCAACAGCAACAGGTTGCCCATTCCCCTATAATTACGCATATTCTCGGGTTTATCCAGTTCCCCAAAGCTTTTTTCCACGTTATCTACTTACCAAATTCCTTTCCCCGACAGATACGCATTTCTACTACCGTAAATTTAATCCAATAAAACAAAAAAATCATAAATCTACTTTATGTTTAAAAATGATTATTGTAACTGAAAAAAATGTGTTGCTCTTTTATGACGTGCTGTAATTTACTACAGTATAATTTGACAGGTGTGAACCGATTTCCCCCTAAGGTCATTCAGTTCACTGATGAAGTGTAAAAAAATAGATGTCTATTTCGTCATTATAATATTTGGCAAGGGTGATTAACCAATTAGGGCAACATTGTGCATGATCAAAAGGTCTGCCGGCACAGAGGCATACAAGGGCCAATAAAAATCGTCAGTACACAGTATGACAGGAGCATTTGGTGCAAATTAGGAACAATTAAAATGGACAATGCGCAATATTAGACATAAGTAGTAAGAACCAGCAATTGTGTGAATAAATTATGCAAATTAGATTTTTGAGCAGCCAAAAAAAAATGATTTGCCTGCAGTTAATATTAGGCTACGATTACGATGCGCAGCATCATACGTTGACAGACATGTTAACAATTTACTTTTCAAAACAGTTGCTTATATTTTTTGAAATGTGTACATCAATTATAACATATGTTGACACCTTTAAATTTGAAAAGTCAGAATCAAACTGCAAAAAATTAATTGTATGTACTATTAAAAACACGTTTTAGTAGGGTTTTTATAATGGAAGTGGCTAGCGCACGGGCCCGTACGGCTAGCCAAAAGTCTTAGCCGTACGTGAGTCACGTACGACTAGCAAGGACACGCTGTATTGGCTAGCCGTACGGCACTTTTTCAAAATTTTATGGAAGTCGAAAATGCATATGTTATTTTATGACTTTAAGCGAGGATTTTTTAACCAAGAAACAGCATTAATTGTCTTTGGATGTTAACTTTTTTAGAGATTAATCGCCCTTGAATCGCTATATATATCGATCTTTGTCATCGCAAGATGTCGAGAAAAAAATAGCCTTTGCTTGCATTTACACCAATTGAAAAAGTTTACAAAATTTTTGATAATATATAATCCTTTTTTTGTTTCATTAAGTTTAATTTTCGACACCTTTTATATGAAAAAAAAACAACAAAAAACAAACACTGAAAAATGATTGTTTGTTAGGCTCTTGATAATTGCGACCAATTACCGACGGTACTGTATCAAGGAAAGTTTGCATGTTACGTGAAAGGCATTCTAAAATTCTATTGTCAGTCCCTGGATAGGTTTTAAATTAAGGCTAATTAATTGATTGACTGTGCTTTTATGTTCGATATTTATCTACTGTTCTGAAAATTATATAATCATTTTTGCATTTCACCGTTTTTTTCCATTCAATGTTCTTTTTATTTATTTACTCCACTCCGATCATTTTTTATTCGATCCATGTGCTAAAAATATAATAAAAACAAAAATGATTTAATAATTCATACAAATTAAACAACAAATGATAAGCATGTAAATCAACAATTTTATAACGTTCGACTTCCATATAATTTTGAAAATTGCCGTACGGCTAGACAATACAGTGCGTACTGGCTAGTCGTTCGTGACTCACGTACGGCTAGAACTTTTGGCTAGCCGTACGTTTCTTTATTTTTTATTATTATTTATTTTTTTTATGTTGTTACGTATTTTGAACCATAAAAAATCTTCTCTACACCTCCTGTGAAAATTAAATTGTCTGATCAATACTTTATTATATTGATATTTCCTGACGATTCAACTAGATTTATCATGAATCTAAAGATGTGGGGAAATGACATCACGCGCACCTGTTTTTATACGGCCAATACACAAACATGGCCGCGCTTACCGATTAGTAGAAATCGGTGATTTAGCGATTTAAATTTTGTTATCATTCGTTTAATATTATTATTTGGCGGCAGAAAATTTGCAAACTTATTATTTATAGTATTCTTTTTCTGAAATCAAGTTTTTATTCTAACCTTGTTTTTCCCTTTAAGTATCGGACGCTGATATTTACAAATAGGATACATTTATTTTGTCAAATGACATTCTTTGTTTATTGAAACGGATAAGTTCACGTCAGAAAACGAAGTGCATGCATCCTATCGAAATGTTTATAATGGAGACAGTTGTCAATATTGAAAAAAATTCAAACAACAAAATACTCGATTATCAGATAAAACCTGGCTTGGAACTATTAATCCACTGATTGCAGCCGCCTCGCAATCTATCTATCAATCATTCATGAATTATGAATAAATGTTTCTGCTAAGCGGTTTTGTAATCAGAGCTAGGCCAATCGGTAGACGATACAGGACATTTGTGGATATTTGAAAAAATTAAAGGCTAAAACCTATCAGCGTTTTCATAAAAGCAACGCTTTTTTAAAACAGGAATTTTTCAGGATGATATGATGAATTAAAGATAACGGAGAAAACACAATAACTAGACATTTCAAAGCAAACGAGCAAATTTTATTTATTGCATAAGGAATAATTACCATGAATAACACAACGGAATCGTTTGCAGTTGGTACTGAAAATGACGTTCAGTCAAGGAAATTAAGAGTAACACGCACTTTCATTTTGATTACGTTAGCGTTAACTACGTACTTTGGAAATACGCTGATCCTCGTTAGTCTAAAGAAGTTTTCAAAGTATTTGAAAGGGACCCCATTCATTTTGATGGGAAATCTGGCCGTAGCAGATCTTCTATTGGCTGTAGGGCTTTCACTAGAAGTTTTGGGAACTATATTTTTGTCGCTTGAAATAAACACGTTTTTCTGTGTAGTTAAAGTGATTGTGACAGGTGTATCACTTGGTACATCAGGAAAACTTCTTATCTTTATATCTTTTGACAGATTTTGTGCAATAATGTTTCCGATGAAACACCTTACTCATTCACAAAAGTCAAGATGTAGGAGAATACATATAGCGATCGTATGGATTATATCAGTGTTGGTTGTCTTAATACCTGCATTTGTGAATTTGAGATCGTCTAAGGTTTTAGAAGATTGCAACTTTGGTAGAAAGATACCTGCCGGAATGGGTATGTGTGCATCTGTGTTTATACTGCTACAGTTTGCCATTAACATTATCATGTGTTTAATTGTCATGCGGAAACTTAAAACAAATACATTGTCAAGGCAAAAATGTAAAAAGAGCATGATAAAATGTGGACATTTAATAAAAGGATATGTTCTTTTTGTTATATGTTGGATGCCATTTGTTGTGACTTCAATATTAGTGACATTTAGTGAAGAGAAGGAAAGATATGCGTCAGTCCGTGAATATACAATTGCACCGGGTCTGTTTAATTCTGCAATGAACTGGGTTATCTATGGTTGTGCTAACATAAAACTAAGAACCGCATTCAAATCAATCTTATTATGTCGGAACGGGCAGGAACTATTCTCGGTTGGTCATTTTAGAGCGGCAAGTTCAGAGAAATACTCAATTCAAAACGACCAGAAGAGCAAGCTTTAAAGTCTAGCCATACACGTGAAACAATAACTTAACTTGAATTAAGTTAAATAGGAAACACAAGCAAAGCTCTTGACATTTCTTTCTGCAGTTTGCCCAAAATAAATATATGTTAGCACATTTAAGCAGCAAAACAATCGAATTTATACACCCGTTTAAGTTTCAGTTCAGTTTCTTTATACATTATATATCATCTTCAATTGTTCCTTTTGAATGGTTTTTTTTGTTTGTTTTTTATTTTAAGTAAACTTATGTAATGGGTATTTTTGTGACCATACTGCCACATACTAGTACTGCTGTGCAGGTACCCAAGTAGAACAGCTGACATTTCCTTAAAAAGCATTTAGAAGAGCATATTTGCGACCTTAAAATTCATGTTTTGCTAAATTTTGTCGCATCAGCATATTCTTGCATAATACATGTTTAAATTATTGACAACGGAAGTAACTAAATAATATAACATTGTGATTTTCAGTGCATTGATAATCACGATATGGAAAATATAACCAGAACTAACTTCGATGTAGTTTTCTTCAATAAATGACAAAATATTGTGGTATAATGCCATGACCTTTATTTACAATTCTTGCTAACAATAAATTTATTTTTATGAAGTTACAATACTACATAACATACAGAAAATTGATACAAGATAATGTTTAAGTGGATTGAACTTAAAGCTTAAAGCTTATTGTAGTTTACAAGTCTTGTAAGATTCACATTAAAATATGAGTTAGGTAAGTTAACGGATAAACATGCATTATAACAAAATATTGTTGACGTGACAGGTTGATTAAAATCTGGAAACAAAGTGATCCCTCGGAAGCATTAATCACAACAAAATTACATAAGAATTGCAGACTCGGTTTCATTGAGTCTGTACATGAGGGATAATGAATAAGTGCAACATGTATAGTAACAAACATAGCAACGCAATATGCCGTAAACGATGATGATAATTAAATGAAATACCAGACCTGAAAAGAAACGAAAGATACTGGTAATATACAACAAAAGAGACAGCGGGGCAAAAAACTGCACCCAGTCGATCTCTAGCAATGAAATGAGTACTAATAGTCAAAACTGAGAGATTTATGTAATAATTATTAAAATAAGTGCCTTCCGAGATGCACACTTGTGTACCGATGGCTCCTTATGTTTTACTGAAATGGTAATCATCTTAATAATTGAAAGAAAGGTGAAACAAGGTTTTAATTAATAATTTTGCATACTTGTTAAAGTAACGAAATTTAAGATAAATACATCAGTTTATATTTTAGCACCCTCCATAAAAGTCTGAGCTAAACATAGGACTGGAATGACAAAAGGATTATCTTGTCTGTCTCAAGAAAGCAAAGACAACTCGGCGATAAAGCGATAAGGATTGGCAAACACGTACTATTCAAATACTATTTACTCAACTATCAACTGGTCACTAAGATGCATCGGCTGGCAGATTAATCTTTTGCAACCCTTCCCAAATAACACACATACAAATTAATAGACATGGCTAAATGGCCGACCTCACGGCAGTGAGCCCCCTCTAACAGTTAAAGGGCGCTCGCCAAATAACACCAATAAAAGAGATGAACGTGTTTTTTAAATTAAAATCGTATTGTTTAAGTAACCATTACGACCTCGCGCAGTAGTGTAGTTCATACGATATATACAAGTATCTGTTATCCAATAAGTCAAAATGGATGTATATCTAGCTTGGGCTTAGGATATCTCAAAATATATCAACACAAGTTTAACCTAATTATTAATTGTTAATAAAAAAGAACATGAATTAGTAAAAACGAAATAATTAATCAAAAAACGATATAGGACATAACTAAATAAAACTAAAACATGAATTTAAACCTGTTCTTTCCAATTGCATTCTAATGTGAAAAATCATTACTTGTAACCATAATGTTTTATCAAAACCTTTATGACTTGATATTAAGCTTGCAATATTACCATCCTCATAACATCTTTATGGGAGTTACGATCTTTTAAGTGATTATTTCCTGGAGTAGAGGCATAAACATATTGTAACCATTTCATGATAATGCGTCAATATTTGCTTGCCATTCCTCTATCGCTCTTAGGTTAATTATGACTGAACAATGAATTTGCAAATATTTTTTATCATTTGACATTTAAGTTCTTGCCAAATCACATTTTTTGAAAATAATTGCACGAACACTTTATTTATTCATCACACTATAAACAAGAAATGATAAACTAATCATTACAATAACACCTGGAGGGGTTGTGTAGGGTACAGCACATGAGTTTTTTTAATCAGAAGGTCATTTCTTCCAGCCACACTTGACGTAAAAGAATCCTTCGCATTTATTCAGTCCAAACTTGGGTGGATAGAAAACCTTGGAAACAGTCATCTGGGACAACAAACAAACAAATTAACAATTATTATAGTAAAATATAGGCTAAAACATTGTTCTTGACAGCTTTGATCATTAATTTCATTACATTTAGCAGTGTAGATTAAAAACATCTAAACTCGTGCCTAGCGGTGTTTTTGATAACACAATCTTATATGTCTCTCGTGATAAGACGTAGCCAAATAGTCTCTAATTTCATTTTACTGTAATTTTCCTCGAGGGATGTTTCATTTTCAGATTTTAAACAATGACTTAATAACGACCAGGATCAATTGTCAATTTCGTTTCTTTAACAAAAAACTTTAATAAGATAATCTTTCATTTTGATCGTTTCAATTCCGAGTGATTTATTTTGAACATTTCATCATTAAATTTATGCCGGTTTGTCGAATAATTATCTACAATTGCTTGAAGGGCTGATATAACAAATACAGTCTATTTTGTCTTTCCAATAAGCCGTAATGTCCAGAAAGATAAACAGCGGTTTCTATTCAAAATTAAATTCTAGGAATTCACAGTTATATTCTAAGTCTTATATTGATTCAAAATCCAAGAAAAAAATCAGAATATTTTGTGTTATCCTTATATAATATATATATATATATATATATATATATATATATATATATATATATATATATATATATATATATATATAGCATTTTTAAAAAATCAATTTCATGAATGTAATTTGTAATTGAGAAATGACATAAGATTATATCTAGACTCTATCAGTATTCGGGTCATAAGCTGACTGCACTTTAGAGAAGTAACATTTAGTATAAGTTATTCCAACGGTTAATTAAATTCTGTTTTATACGTATTTAAGTCGGCATGTAAGCACGGCGCAAAAATGAGAAATATGAACAATTCTAATCAAACAATTGGGAGTCTTATCGTGATACTCAGGCAAATTGATGACAAAAATGACAAAAATATTAAAATGATGTTATGAACTCTAAAATCACGCTAAAAGGACATTAAAAAAACCAGCATGATTTTCTTTTTTTAATTCTAAATGTTTTGGGTTTCAAGCGTAAATATATTTACATATGTTGAACGAAATTAAGAAGCCGATAGAATCACCAAGTAGTTATGTGACTTAAAAAACAATGGACACTGACATTGTGGACATTGTATGATTACAAGTCTAAGTCATTCATTTGACATTTTCTTTAACGTTTTAAAAGTTCACTGTTTTCGGAGAAGAACTATATAAGATTTTATATCTTTCGTTCTAATCCATTTCATCATTGTATATATTGAATGATTGTATATTATGTACTGTGTATGATTATGAATAAAATATGTTTAAACTAAACTAAAAGTTCACTGTGACAAATTTTGTAAAAGCTTAACGCTCTAACATGACCCACGTGGGTCAGATTAGAAAACCACCATTTAATACTCTATAATGAGAAAAGATTTGTTTCTGTGACTGCCAAGCGTATTCATTTTAGGACATTTACAGAATAATGAATGAAAAATTCAAAACGAAGAAATGCAAAATTTTGTCTCCCACTAAAAGTCATAATTATCAAGAGTTAGTTTTCTTTCTTTTATGTTTCATTTATTCTAAATATATTGTATACAATATATTTCATGGTTCACAATCCTTAGCTAGCCCCTCTCAGATTGTCTGCAATGTCAACAAACATCCTAGGACAACGCTGCTGGCCCAAGATGTTTGCACTTTCCTGCCTAGTCTCAAAGCAAATATAATCCGATATATAACTTGCAAACTGGTCACCATATTTGATACATTTTACGGTAAATTGCTTTTGAATACAGCATTACAGGAATGAAGTTTATTTAGAGGTATGGCAGATTCAGGACAAATGTACTTGCACTTCTATATGAATTGATTTTAGCAAAAATGTTTTATATTGTCATTAGGACGATACAATGTGTATCTAATGACAACGCTTAATCCCACTGAGTATTAACCCATAGTTAGTGTTTGATAAGCATCGGTAATAAATGTTGATTCACTTTACAAAACAGATCACCTCATTCTGTCATTGTTAAATGTAACCAGACGACATCGGATGTTAAATGACAGATTTTTTGTTACATTATAATTGTTTTCAAGAAATATAAAAATATATACGACTTATTTAGTTTTGACAAAAGACCTGCGAATAAACTAACAATAGTTTCATTTGTGTCGTTAAATATATTGTTAAAACTTAACTTGGTGACATGTTCTTATTTTTTTGCATCACGGAAATATAATAATGATGAATATTTCTTTAAATTCGGATTGCGGCGGAATTTTATACTCTATTTTCAAATTCAAATTCTGGATAATAAGAATCGCTGTGGTTTCTCTATTAATAGGAAGTGTGCTTATTGGAAATACTCTAATTCTGATAAGTATTGTTAAATATCGAAGGCATTACAGAGGTTTCTTGTATCAACTGATTGGACACTTAGCTGTGGCAGATATAGTGTTATCAATTGGTCTTTTGATTCATATGTTTGAATATGCGAGTTCCTACGTAAGAAACAATAACTTTTTCTGTGTAATAAAAACATTTTGCGTGACGACGTCGGTGATTTGCTCTTCAAAACTGTTGCTTCTTATGTCTATTGATAGATTCCGTGCTATTGTTTTTCCTTTGAAGCACTATGTAAACTCTTCTAAACATCTAAAGCGAAGGATAGTTCTAGTATTTATTTGGTCAGCTACTTTAGGGATAAGCTGCTT